GAGACAAGCGGGTAGACATTTCTTACATAAAATTGACCGTTCGTTCTTTTGCCATGCTCAGAATTTTCCTACAACCAACGGTTCGTGAGAAAAATTTTTATTTGGAGGTCTGTATATCGGATGACAAACTTGAGAAATTTTAATTCGATTTTTTCTCTTTTCCGGCAATGTTGGGTTAGCGGATCAGACTAATACACATTTCTGTAATAATCTGAACCGAATGCATGCACCAAAACATAAAAAAAAAAATTTTTTTTTATAAAAATTTGGAAAAAATCATCAAAGGGGGTACCCTTGGATGTTTTTTCAAATTTCGTTATTCGGCTATATTGGCGTCAATTTTCGTCCGAGAGTCAAGCGGGTAGACAATCCTTACATAAAATTGACCGTTCGTTCTTTTGCCATACTCAGAATTTTCCTACAACTAACGGTTCGTAAGAAAAATTTTCATTTGTAGGTCTGTATATCTGATGAAAATCTGATGAGAATTTTTTAATTCGATTTTTCTCTTTTCCAGCAATTTTGGGTTAGCGGATCAGACTAATACACATTTTTGTAATAATCTGGATCGAATTCATGTAACAAAACATAAAAAAAATTTTTTATAAAAATTTGGAAAAAATCATCAAAGGGGTTACCCTTGGATTTTTTTCAAATTTCGTTATTCGGCTATATTGGTGTCAATTTTCGTCAGAGAATCAAGCCGTTAGACATTTCTTACATAAAATTGACCGCTCGTTCTTTTGCCGTATTCAGAATTTTACCACAACTAACGGTTCGTGAGAAAAATTGTCATTAGGAGGTCTGTATATCTGATGAAAAACTTGAGAAATTTTAATTAAATTTTTTTTCTTTTCCGGCAATTTTGGGTTAGCGTATTAGACTAATACACATTTTTGTAATAATCTGTACCGAATGCATGTACCAAAACATAAAAAAATTTTTTAATAAAAATTTGGATAAATCAAAGGGGTGCCCTTGGATTTTTTTCAAATTTCGGTATTCGGCTATATTGGCGTCAATTTTCGTCCGAGAATGAAGCGGGTAGACATTTCTTACATAAAATTGTTGACCGCTAGTTCTTTTGCCATACTCAGAATTTTCCTATAACTAACGCTTCGTGAGAAAAATTTTCATTTATAGGTCTGATATCTGATGAAAAACTTGACAATTTTTAATTCGATTTTTGCTCTTTTCCGGCAATTTTGGGTTAGCGTATTAGACCAATGCACATTTTTGTAATAATCTGGATCGAATTTATGTAACAAAACATAAAAAAAATTTTTTTTTATATAAATTTGGAAAAAATCTTCAAAGGTGGTACCCTTGGATTTTTTTTGAAAATCCGTAGAATTTTTAATTCGATTTTTTCTCTATTCCGGCAAAGTGACTTTAGCGGTTAAGACTTAGACCCCTTTTTGTAATAAGCTGGACCGAGTTGATGTACCAAAATATAAAAAAAAATTATTTTTTAATAAAAATTTGGAAAAAATCATCAAAGGGGGTACACTTGGAATTTTTTTCAAATTTTATTGGCGGTTATTCGGTTATATTGGCGTCAATTTTCGTTCGAGAGTCAAGCAGGTGGATATTTCTAACATAGAATTGACCGCTAGTTCTTCTGCCGTTCTAAGAATTTTCCTGAATTTAACGGTTCGTGAGAAAAATTTTCATTTGGAGGTTTGTATATCGGATGAAAAACTTGAGAATTTTTAATTCGATTTTTTCTCTTTTCCGGCAATTTTGGGTTAGCGGATCAGACAAAGACACATTTTTGTAATAAGCTGGACTATGTGCTTGTACCAAAACATAAAAATTTTTTTTTTTTTATAAAAATTTGGAAAAAATCATCCAAGGGGGCAACCTTGGATTTTAATCAAATTTTGTTATTCGGCTATATTGGCGTCAATTTTAGTCCGAGGGTCAAGCAAGTAGACATTTCTTACATAGAATTGACCGCCCGTTCTTCTGCCATGCTCAGAATTTTCCTACATCTAACAATTCGTCAGAAAAATTTTCGTTTTTAGGTCTACATTTGCTAAAAAAGTGGAGAATTTTTAATTCGATTTTTCTCTTTCCTGGCAAATTTAAGTTAACGGATCCGACTACGACACATTTTTGTAATAAGCTGGACCGAGTGCTTGTACCAAAACATGAAAAAAAAAAAATTTTTTTATAAAAATTACGAAAAAATCATCCAAGGGGTACACTTGGATTTTATTCAAATTTCGTTATTCGGCTATATTGGCGTCAATTTTTTTCCGAGAGTCAAGCAAGTGGACATTTCTTACATACAATTGTTCGCTCGTTCTTATGTCAAGCTCAGAATTTTTCTACAATTCGTGAGAAAAATTTTCATTTGTAGGGCTATATTTGCTGAAAATGGAGAATTTTTAATTCGATTTTTTCTCTTTCCCGGCAAATTTGAGTTAGCGGATCAGACTAAGACAGATTTATGTAATAAGTTGGACCGAGTGCTCGTACCAAAACATGAAAAAAAAAAATTTTTTTATAAAAATTACGAAAAAATCATCCAAGGGGGTACACTTGGATTTTATTCAAATTTCGTTATTCGGCTATATTGGCGTTAATTTCGGTCCGAGAGGCAAGCAAGTGGACATTTCTTACATAAAATTGACCGCTCGTTCTTCTGCCATGTTCAGAATTTTTCTACATCTAACGGTTCGTGAGAAACATTTTTATTTGTAGGTCTATATTTGCTGAAAAGTGAAGAATTTTTAATTCGATTTTTTCTCTTTCCCGGCAAATTTTGGTTAAAGGATCGACTCAGACACAGTTTTGTAATAAGCTGAACCAAGTGCTTGTACCAAAACTTAAAAAAAAAAAAATTTTTCATAAAAATTTGGAAAAAATCATCCAAGGGCTCAATTCTCCATTACTGAAGGTTGGCTATAGCTACAGCAAATTCCCCTTTATCTTAATCTGTTCTTAGTATCGAATATGTGTCCCACTGTCCAGTCTCTTACGTTCTTCAACCAGGAGCATTTTGTCTGCTTGGATCTGTTCTTCCATCCACTTTCCCTCCCATTATAAGTCGTAGGAAGTTGTATTTTTCTCTTCTGTAAATATGTCCTAGATAACACGTTTTTATGTTTTTTTACCATATTTAAGAGTTCTCTATCAGTACCTATTCTTCTTAACACCTCGTTTTTGGTCACGTGCTCTGTCCAAGAGATCTTAAACATCCTTCGAAAAACCGGAATTACATACCTGTAATTCCGAGAGTCCATGTTTCGTATCAGTCCTGCATATTTACAGAAACTTCTCTATCAGCCATTGGTATGCGCCGTATCGGGGTTGAGCACTCCTCGCCCAGTTTGTTTTGCGCAGAGTACTGAAGGACCCCTACTAGTTCAGATTCTCTCCTTCACGCAATCTGAGACCGACTCGAGAAGATATGTACCATAATGTTTTTGTATAGGTTATTCCACGAATATATGACTGTTTGGAATTATTGCAACGAATATTTTACTGTACAAGTAGAAGTATGAAAGTAAATTGGTCTAATTATTATTCCATAAAAAAAGGATCTTCTGTTACTATTACATATAAACTAAAATTATTTCAGTTAGTAGATGTTCAGATAGACGTAAAATTTATTGTGAAAACTAATCCGAAAATAACAAAAAAATTTACGTAAACGCTCCTACAAATAAATACAATGACCTCTATGAAGTTAAAATGTGTTCATCAGCCATTTGGGTTGGATTTCGGTGAAATGTAAACACCAAAGTGGCGCGCCGGGTATCTTTATTACTTAATTAGGTACTACAACGGTAATAAAAAGAAATATAATATTTTTAATATAAATACAAAGAAATTGGCAGAACGATGGTTCAGAAACCAGAAAAGAATCTAGTATTCCACTTTGTTAGTTTTTTGTTTGCTTTGAGTGGATATACTCTTTTCTTTTCTTAAAAGTTCCAAAAGTAATATTTCTGAAAAAAATAAATAATTCCGAAAAGATCCGAGAATAAGAGTAAGAGTAAGTTTTTTTGTTTTTTTAATACTAATTGAATATTCGACTAAAAAAATTAAACTATTTAATCACTTAAGTATTGTTACACTTCGTTTGAATCACTTAATTCAAAAACCAACTTGTTTACAATACTAAAGTCAATGAGAGTAATTATACGGGTATACTTCAAAATCTGAATTACAACTATTCTATAAACTAGGTATCAATTCTATATTTAAATCATAACTTCATATTTAAATCTAAGGTGTATATCTGTCATAACAGTATTTTAAAAATGGGGACAATTTACCATTGTACAATTCAGCACATTGGACCATTTAAGTCGACACCTTAAAGTGAATTTAAAACAGTCGTATATTCGTTGAATGTAGTATAGTCACTTTGTAGACTATGAAACGTCTGCGATCTAACGACTCGAAGTCATGAGGATATGGCTGACTATATTCTGCAGCTTAAGTGTCCGTAAAACAGTTCCATTGTATGCAGGTGTCCCTTGACTGCCTTATGTCCAGTGAGAAAACACGTTTTGATCCTGAGCTGATTGATTCTTGATTTTTTTCTTTCTTCAGGCCCTAATAGTATTTGCCTGTTCATTATACATTTTGTTGTTAAGACTTATAAGACAGATATTCTATCAAGAGCCAGTAGGAACCACGAAGAGTGGTAGGCCAAAATCTAGATTCAAAACTTAAGTCGAAGATGACTTGAAGAATCTAGGAGCCAGAAATTGGCGGGAATGGAGACTAATTCTTAAATAGGCCAAGACCCACCCAGGGTTGTAGAGCAAAAGATGATGATGATGGCAGTGAGTTATATCGCCTTTATATCCATGCTTTTTTTCAGACCATTATTGGCAAGTCTCACCTTGATCTTAATTAATACAGGTAACTTAGTTATGCTCGACTAGTTAACAATATAGTTAACATGTTAATTAATTAGCTCTACATTTTGCCATGTCTTTTCATAGATCCAAAAGAAAATTTTCAAATGAAACATAATAAATATTTAAATAATTTATTTACATATTAACATTTTTTAATTATCTACAAAATACTCTTCCAAATCTGAAGGAACCGTTGCGTTATCCAGTTTCTTAGCGAGAGCCCAATATCTGCGCCTTACCAAATGTGCAGCTTCTTTCGGTTGTCGTTGTCTTGTAAAAATTCCTTTCTTGTTACCTCCAACCCTTGTATAAGCTAAAAATTTACAAGATATAATTTTTCACTGCTTAAATCTATGTAGATTGATAAAAGATAGAGAAAGATAAAAAAACTGGATTTGATAAACTTGTACCTACATTGAGCAGTCTTAAAATCTGCAAAGTTCCATATCATCTCCCCTATGAACCACCCCTTATTCCTCATTTGATCGAATGCTTTAAAATGTTCGCTCAATAGTTTAGCTTGGAATTCTTCTGACCAAATATATGTTGGCAACTAAAAAAAATCAGAATTCTTAATTAATATATTGTTATTTACTAGAATATGTCTAGAATCCTAATAGAGGAGGATTTGTTTTCATCGATAGGAGAAGAACAGTTTGGGTTTATGCCATAAATAAGGACAACGGATGTCTTGGTTGCTTTAAGACAGTTGGTAGAGAAATATTATTTATAGATCTTAAGAACGCATACGACACAGTTTCTAGACAAGAGCTATGAATATTTATAAGAGAGAAAAACTGTCTAGAAGTGCTGAGAAGGTCCTCGTAAAGGATATGTATGAGGGAGTGTAAACCAAAGAAAGGACTTCTGTCGGATTAACTGAAAGTTTTTTACTGAATGTTGGTTTGCATCATAGGTATTTACTGAGTCCCTATATTTTTAATCTTGTTATGGATGTATTAACAAGAAGTTGGAGAGTTTGATAAGGGTTATTGAAGAGTTAGGACTTAAGGTTAGCAGGTCGAAAACAACGTATATGTAAATCTTGAACATGTTGCCTGTGTGAGTCCATTTCAAATAGGTAAAAGAAATAAGAATAATACTTACTTACAGTCTATGTAATTCTACCACCAACGACTGCTTTCACCTACTACAATTTGCTATGCATCTTCAGGTCTTACGGTACATGGTAAATTAAATGATCCTGGTACAAGAATTATTATTTAGTGATTTAGAAAAAACGATATAGATTCTTATACCGGCATTATTTCATTTACCATGTACCATAAGATCTAAAGATGTAAACTGTAGTATGCAAAACCGGTCGCTGGTATTAGAATTAAATAGACTGAAAGTAAGTAATATTTTTATTTCTTTTACCTAATTAAAGTATAGGTGGTTGGGAGGAAGAGTAATGGCTGGGAACATAGAATTGCTTAAAGAAAAACAAGGGAGAGTATCAGAACTTAAATACCTTAGCTCCTACATAACGAAAAAGGAACACTAGATAGAGAAGTTAACCACAGGCTAAAACTGGTTGGTTTAATTGATGGAGAATGAGCGGGGTACTTTTTGCTTAAAAAATCGAAGAAGGGCTGAAAGGGAAAATATACAAGAGTGTGGTGAGAAATGCTGGTGTATGGCGGTGAAGTGCGGCCTGTAAAAAATATATAGGAAAATAAGATGGAGGTAGTTGAAATGAAAATGTTACGGTAGATGTTAAGGAAGACTAGATGGAACAGGATCAGAAACGACTTACTAGGGAAAGAGCCGGGGTAAATATAGTCTCAAAAAAAGATTCAGAAACAAAGACTGCAACGGTTTGGTCATGTCATTTGGTCAACAGCAATCCCTGAACAAAGCAAAACTAAGGCAGGAGAAGAAGAAGAAGAAGAAAAAGTAGGTAGTGAAAATTCACCTTTATTGCTTGAAAACAAAACTATAGAAACAACAATTTTCAGTCTTTTATCGTTAGATTTAATACTTGACTTTGTAATTTAATTAGCTTGGCTTTCATTTAAAATTTTGTAGTCCACTATTGATCTCCAATCTCGACCGCTCTGTTTGTGATACTACTCCAAGCCCTACTAGCCTTCCTGGTTTTCTATATGAGTGTTTCATCTCTTAGTCACTATGTTTAGGTTATTTTATAGGAGCCGGAAACTCGTCTTCATTTACGATTTTATTAATGTTTCGTAATCAGTCCTAAGTTTCGTAATGAAGAATGAGAAAGAGCTTTCAGATGAAATCAAAAATAAGGAGAGCTGTCAGACAGGAATGTATATTATCACCGATCCTAGTCAATAAGTATTCTGAAGAAATTATCCAAAAAGCGCTAGCGGGACAATTAATACGCATAAAAGTGAACGAAAAACCTATCAAGAATTTAAGAAACGCTGATGATCTTTACAGATAGCGTAATATCTCAAAGTAATGTAAGTAAAGAGGTGTAGATTAGGGTGCATCGAAACAGGCGAAAAAAAAAATTTTTTTTTGCAATGGAAAATTAATACCTCACAAAAGTTGCCCAATCAACTGGTAAGTAATTTGGTATAATCTGGTCGAAATTGAAAAATATCTTCTTTGTTTTGAGACGAAAATGAAATACCTCACAAAAGTTGCATAAATAACACACTATTTAATATTTTAGTAAAATTGCGTTGAACTAAAAATATATTTTCTGCCCCCCCTCGGCACTTAAAATAAGAAAAAATACATTAACAGGCGCATTTTTCTTTGTAACGGAAAGCTAATACCTTAAAGTTAAATTAATAAATTCGGTTTAAAATATGTTCTAGTTCTACAAATCAATTAAAAATTTAAGTTAAGAAAAATATTCTCCAACATTTTTTTATAACAAAATAGCCCAACTTTTCCTTCTGTCCCTGTGATGTCACCAACGTTTTTTTTAATACTGAAATAAAAATAAAAAAACTATAAATTTAAAGTGATGTATTATAGAAGTATTACAAAAATATGGTAAAACAATTCTATTTAAAGATTTATTTTGATTTAGTGTTAAAGTGAGGCATAGTTTTTCTGGAATCAACTCGCGTTTTTATAAATCCATCCCTCGAGTCTGCTCCACAAACTGCTTGAGAAGCTTCTGTCACAAGCTTGACACATCGTTCTACACATTGTGTGTGGCAGTGATATTTCTCAATATTAAAAGGGTCTAAGTCCGGATTCTTAATAAAATCTCGCAGATCGTCATTCGAAACTCTAGAGAAGATAGGTGGTTCCGTAAGGTTACACTCTTGCCAATTAATTAACTCAAAGTAGTCGTTTGCATCAAAATTTATAGGAGAAATTTTGAAGACTCTCACGTTTTTTTATTTTGTCGCTGGAAACCTTCTTGCTTTTAAGATGCGGCGTAATCCATGTTCCCGAATATGGAGTCGTTCATCCGATATCATGCTTAAAAGTATATTTTCACAATGACCGGAATATGCAGCTCGTTGAATTACAACGTCGACTACAGCCCTTAATTCGCTATTTAAGTACCGATATAATTGAATGGTTTTAAAAAGATGTTTTGTACCATATTTACATATCGGTTGGGATTTTATGCTGAACCACATTGGAGCGTATACCTTCATAATATATTCTGTGAGTGAGATTAAGTTCACCGGTAGCACGATACTCGATACATAGAGCCGAAGAATGCGATTAGCAGTTGTTACCCACCTTGAATTTGCCAGGGGTCCGGGTTTTCGATCTGTAACACTGGTAGTCACTGGCCACTGGATACTACGTGGTACATTTCATACAAATACTTTTTATCTGTACTAAGCTCCTTCAAAATACTTTCGGGAATCGTGGGTAAATTACCTTTAATTGGTTTCAACGCAACGATTGGCAGTTAATCGCATTGTAATAACTGCTTACCAATAGGACCTGAAAATCCTCTAGGTCCAGAAGTATCTCCATCAAGATGGTGAAAAAGATGTCGAAGGGTAGTTCATTTGCATGTAGCAGACATACAAACCACTGAAGCGGTTTTTGAAGATGTTCTTCTAACAGTCGTATTACGCCCCCTTTAACGCCAGTATTTATGACTGTACTGTCACAACCAATAGCTTCAATTTCTTGTAATGCGATTGAATTTTCTATTAGGAATTGAATAATGGAAGATATTTTCGGATATACCGGACAGCGGAGAAACATGTCCCAAATAGTTGCATCCTGGTTCCTGCACAAGTGTTATGTGTTCTTCCATGATCGTTTGACGATAAACCTTTGCACCTTTTCTTACTTGAGCTAAAGTTTAGTCTTTGCGTCCATCAAAGTAAAGCCCACGTAGTCGAATGTTCGTGTAGTCTCTGAATATTGGAACGACATTTAAGCCTTTCTCTTCTAACTTTATTTTTGTCGATAACGTTAAAAGAGTCCGCTGATGTAATTATTCCTATATCGGTTAAAACGACGGATGCAAGAGTAGCTGCAGATCTATCAGATATGCCGTGTGTGTCACATGTTTTTGCAAAATTTTTCAACTGACTTCTCATTTGATTTTTGTTGACACCTTCAGAGGTTGAAGGTACATAAACATCATCTTGAAACGTAACATCATCATTATTATTAATAAAATTATTTGATTTCGAACTTGAAGAAGAATCGCATTCAGGTATTGGATTAATATCATTCTCAATAACTACGGTATCTTTTGTCTTTTGTCGTTGTTCTCTCTGAATATATTTTCTTGTTCTTTCTCTATCAACTGTGATTATCACCATTTTTCTCGGACCTCTTTGATCTAATAAAAACTCTCGTCGAGAGGCACTTTTTAAGACTTGCTACAAAGGCAATTCAGTAGGGTATAACATTTGCATGCTGCAAGATCGAAAATAGTTTTACTTTTCTGCTGAAAGCATAGAATTTTATTTTTGTAAGAATTACTGTTTTTCCTGCTCTTAAATGGCTTCATAAGCTTGGTGTATTTGTCGTGGTAGGATTTTAAAAGCTGAATTATTCTTTTACGTGCAACTATTGGAATTGTAGCCTTTCTCCATATTTCCTCCAATTTCATGGCAACCTCCTCGGCAATAACGGAAAACGCTGGCTCTTTCTTGGTAAGTTTTTTGTTCAGCCTCTTCCAAGCACAAAATTTCATCACTTGTTCAAACGTCGATAACACATTTTCAGGAATATTTGATGGTTGTCCAAAAATGGCGCAGTCTACAGCACATCTTGTTTTTATTCCCGACGTTCCTGGCTTATCCATTTAAAAAAAATCTTTAGTCTATAAACATCAATAACAGCAAAGTAATGCACCGCACCAAACAAGCGAAAATTACACTCACGGACTGCTGTACACAGATGCTAGATACTTACTGATAAGGGAATCAGGCACTCGGGTAGTCTTGGGCCCCGTTTTAAGGAATTTTACCGATTATTACTCGAATGATTTTAGCCAAGCGGTAATGACATTGAACCGTTGCATCTCGGAGTGTCTCGGACCAATGATAATAATGATATTAGAATATCAGGATCTATACGATACGAGTGGTTGCCGATTTTGTTTCATTGGTAGTACATATTATGAACTTTCGAATATCAGATATTAGTAGAAATAGACGTTTCGCGGTAATTTTCAATGGGGTTGAAGACACTTAATAAACAAATGAAATTTTAAATATCGTTTAAATGTGTAATTTACAACATTTTAAGTTTTATTTAATTGATATTAGATCGAGTAAGCACATATTTTAATCCAAATATAATAAATTCAAATTTCCATAAAAAGCAGATATTTAATAAAGCTTAAGGTCGTTGGGGGGGCAGACAATTAATTTAGAAAAAGAAATAAAAATACTAATATACTAAAAAATAATACTAGCAATTTTTTTATATTATTAGATACAACATTTCCAACTTTTATTTTTTCGATGCACCCTAGTGTAGATCTAGAATCTTAAATAATCTAAAAAAGTGATTTAACTACAGTTCAACAAAACTGTTTAGAAAAGCGGCATCGAAATTTTGAATCGCTATGATGATTGCGCTGACAATCTTCTGAGTCGAAACACGTAAAGAACACGTAAAGAAATTTATTTAATTTTTTTTATTGTTTGTCTAGTTTCAACAAGTTTCCAAGATATTTATGTGCTTGAGGTCTTTATTTTCCTCTTCTCTATCGCTATGGTCGCCAATATATCTACTTCTTCTCTCTCTGCGTAGCAAACGATACCTAGACATGCTAAATCCCAATAATATACTTACATAATGAAGGCCCTCCATTGTATCGCCACCATATTCCGATACTACTACTGGCTTGTTATGTAGTTCATGCCAGTGTTCACCTTCTTGTACAAGTTCAGTCACTACTGTATCTAATGCACCAGGATTCAAATACCATGCGTTGTAACGATTGAAGAAAATTATATCGACAAATTGTTCCTACAATAAATATTTATCAGTTATCAGCAGATATTAAAAAAACTATGAGGGTTGGAGTAGTGTGAAATGAGTATTTAGTTAAAACGTAATATAATATATTAATTTTTTTCAATTTTATTTAAATTAAATGGAGCACTTACTGACTGATCTTCCCAATTTCTATACATGTCCACTATTGTTACAGGTCTTGTTTTGTCTAAAGATTTCATATGATCCACAATTGATCTAAAAGAATATTTTTTTAAGTAAGAAAATTAAAATATCTCAGACATATTACACGTGGGGAGAAATAAACCTTGCACCAACTGATTATGCAGGGAAAGATATGGCCTAGAATGTCATGGCTGCGCAACTTGAGAGAGTGGTACGGATGTACATCAAATAAACTTTTCAGAGCAGCTGTCTCAAAAGTCCGAATAGATATGATGATTGTCGATCTCCGCCGCGGAGATGACACTTGAAGAAGAAGATAACATGTTAAGGTATTATCAATATCTGTAAAATAATTTCAGAACCAAGATGTATTACAGTTTTAGGTTATATTTAAACTGTCTTATAATGTTTTGTTTTATAAAATGATAGACTTATTTGTCTTGTAGTGCTTATTTGGATATTACCAATAGATTAAGTACAAATATTCATTTCTCGAGCGCACTCTTTTTATCCACATTTCTACGAAGCTTAATTAATTTGTTTAGCTCATGATCTCTCTTATAATATATAAGAAGTAGAAGATTCAGTGGTTTTTAAGTGTGGCGGAAAGAATTAAACGTTAGGCACAGGTTTTATAATAAAAAAAGAGCTAAAAGAAGCAATAGTAGAGATTAAACCAGTATCAGACCGCATATGTAGTATCAAGTTTAAGGGCAAATACCAAAAAATCACCCTCATAAATATGTATCGCCTTCAGAAGAAAAAGATAATGATGTCGAAGAATGTTTCTACAGTGAGTTAAACAGAACAATCGAAAATATACCTAAACATGATATGAAAATTATTTTAGGCGACGCAAATAAAGTATTTAGACCGACAATAGGAAAATATAGTAAACATAATGAAACTAATGAGATCGGACCATTTCTGATAAATTTCACAAGAGAAAAAAATATGATCATAATGAGCACATATTTCGAAAGAAAAGAAATACACAAGGAAACATGGATATCGCCAGATAGAAAGATTAAAAACCAAATAGACCACGTGCTTATCGAAACAGAAGAACAGCAATTTAAAAAGAAGATAAGAACATACAGAGGACCCAAAGCCGACTTAGACCATTACACGGTGGGCATTAAAATTAAGCAACTGATACCAGAAAACAAAAACAAAATAAAAGAAAAGAAATGTGTAAATAACCCAATTCGATTACCTACAAAGAAAAAGCAAGAAATGTACGAGAAAACAATGAAAAGAAAACTAAAAAAGATACAAATAAAAGAGCAAACTGAGAACAAATGGGAAAACATAAAGCAAGTAATGAACAAAGCAGCAAAATAATGTACTAAACAAGAGAATAAAAAGAGGAAAGACTGGTTCGACACATAGTGCCAAAATAAATAGAACTAAGAAAATCATTTAGGATGAAAATGATCGCGAAAGAAACAACAGAAACAAAGAATAGTTATATGGAGCAAAGACAAAAAGTAAAGAGGGTGCTGAGAGAAAAGAAGAAAAACGCATAGAAAATAAGCTAAAAGAAATAGACGAGAATTACAGAAAAAAACAAATAATAAAATCTAGATCAAGGCGCTAGAAATGAAAAAAGAGGTTTTCAACAAAAACCCATATTCGTTAAAAACAAAGCAGGAAATAATACAAGCGGTGAAGTAGAAATAGTCGAAAAATTGGAAAGAGTATTTTGATGATTTACTAAACGGCAACAATAAGTAAAAACCAAAGAGAATGTATGCAAGCAAAAGCAATAATCGAACACTTAGATAAGAAGACATAGAAGATCATTCACCCACAAAAGAACATAACAATCATAAAAAATCTGAAAAACAATAAATACCCTGGAAGCGATAACATAACAGCAGAGGTGATGAAATATGGTAGAAAATTGCCAAATGATTTGATATAAAAAATCATAAAGGAGATATGGATAAAAGAACGAATACCAGAAGATTACTAGGAAGCAATTATTTGCCCATTACACAAATAAGGAGACAAAACAGAATGCAGTAATTACAGAGTAGTATCGTTACTAAATACCGTATGTAAAATCCTATCAAAATCCATAAAAGACATGCTAGAAAAAGACATGTAAAATATAATAGGCGAATATCAGTGCGGATTTAGATGAGGGAGAAGCACAACGGACGAAGTTTTCGTAATCAGAGAATTACAAGCAGAAAGGTATGAACACAACTTACCAACGATAGCGCTATTTATCGACTTCTAGCAAGAATACGATAGAATAAACAGAAAGGAATTAAAAAATAAATTAAATACAGTTAAAGTCAGAAAACTGCAACATATGGGACATGTTAAAAGGGGCGAACGTTATAACTTGTTGCAAATAATAATGCAAGGAAGAATACAGGGTAGAAGAAGTCGCGGAAGAAGACGCATCTCCTGGTTGAATAATTTGAGAGCTTGGTTTAACTGCACTTCTGCTGACCCCTTTAGAGCAGCGGCGTCGAAAGTGCGAATTGCCATGATGGTTCTATCCTTCATTGCCACGAAGGATAGAACCTTCTTAGAGGAGATGGCACGTGAAGAAGAAGAAGAATTAAAAAAGACCCTTGAGGAAATGGAAGTTTGCAGAAAGTTGCGTAACATCATACATCTAACTTTAAAGAATATAGAACACAGAGTCAAAGTAAACAATCATTCATCGAACAAACGAAGGATTAAGGCAGGGCGATCCTTTTCAATCATTACTCTTCAATAATTTATCCCTAGAAAAAATATTGCGGGAAGCGAAAATCAATAGAGAAGGACTCCTATATCATAAAAGATACCAAGTTTTGGCATTTGAAGATGATATAGTGTTGCTGGCAAGAGGAAAAAAGAGCTACAGGAGATAATACAGAGAATAGTAAAGGCAGCGAAGTAAATGACAAAACAAGACAAACGAGACAAAAGTTTAAGGTAGAAGTAGAAGCAGAATCATCATACGAATTTAAAATGGTAGAAAGATTTACATACCTAGGTGTAATAATATGACAATAAAACACTGAAAACTTTGTTTTCAAACTTCCACAAAATTTATTTTAACTATTATCACTACAGCTGTTTCGGCTGATTGCCTTTTTCAAGTGATCTATTTTTGGCATGCGTTTACAATTTATAGTCTCTAATGAAATAGGTTGAGAAGGGGAGAACTGTTTGTCTGTAAAAGAATGATTATGATCTAGAAGGTGAAGTGCGTATGTCGAATCTGTTTTTTTGTTCTTGAAAGCCCTTTTATGTTCTGCTATGCGTTTATTAAAGTTTCTACCAGTTTGACCGATGTAAGTTTTTGGGCAGTCGCCACATTGAAGTTTGTACACACCACTATTTGAGTGTTTTTTATTTTGGCTCTTCTTATTTTTATTATATTTGCCTAGTTTGTTATTTATTCGGAAAGCTGGTGTTATTCCTTTCTTTATTATGTGTTTGGCTATTTTTGTTGTTATTCTGCCTGTATATGTAATCGAGCAGAAGGTACTGGGTTTTTTCTCTGGTGATGGAAATACTAATTTCAGGGCTTTCTTGTTTAGTTTTTGATTTAACATTTTATTAATTGTTTGTTCGTTGTATCCGTTGTTTACTGCTATTTGCTTAATTATATTTAATTCTTTCTCAAAGTTGTATTTTGACATCGGAATTTATGTTAATCTATGTAACATATTACGATAAGCTGCCAGTTTATGTTGTGTTGGATGGGATGATGAATTGTATATAGTCGTGTCAGTATGTGTAGGTTTATGAAATATGGAGAAGTCATGTTTGTTGTTAAGTCGGATAATTTTTATATCTAAAAAATTTATGGATTGATTTTGTTCTGTTTCTATTGTAAATTCAATATGACTATGAAGTGAATTAATATACGATAAAAATTGGTCGAGTTGCCTGTTAGTTCCTGTAAAACATACCAGTACGTCGTCTACGTATCTCCACCAATAATATTTAATAGCCCCATCAATTATTTAATAATATGACGTAAACCTAACATTAAAGAAGAAATTCAAGCTGGAATAATGGCAGGCAATACAAGTACACATGCTCTTAGTGGAATGTTGAACTATACAACCAATAGTAACATATTGCAGTGACAAATGGACACAGAGACTAAGATGGCGAGGTCACCTAAAAAGGATGCCAAACACGACGACTCCAAAAAGGGTACTAAACTACATTATAGCTTTAAAAAAGAGAAAAGGAAGGCCTAAAAATAGATGGAATCAATAGGTAGAAAAAGATATGGAAAAAATTAACTAGAAGGCCAGAAAAGAAAAATGAATAACAAGAAGGAATGGAGAAAAATCACATATCGAGCCAGAGAAGATCTCAGTACATAAAGAAAAGCAAAATATTTTGTCTAAGCGAATCCCTTTCCCATGTCATATTTGGACTTCCTCTCCTACTTCTTTCACAAACTTGCAAATAAGTAATTCTTGGGATTGAATTATTTAGTTTTCGACAATGAACAAACACGAACTATCTTAACCTACGCTCTCTCATATTGACCTTAATTTTTTTCTTTTTTGTCCCTTTACTTATCCACTTGTTCCTCTTTTTTTTAAGTTTCCAATACTTACTTCTGTACATTATAGCTAGTCTCATGGCAGTTTGTTAGAATTTTTCATTTAGTTTCATTGGAATCTTTCTATCACACAACATACCACTCTCTTCCTTCCACTTCATCCATCCCATCCTAATTCTATTACATGAATCTCCATGCATTTTCCATTGCTCTGTAGTAAGTATTCTAAGTAGTTAAAACTACTGCTTTACAATGATTTTACCATCCAGAGTTATCATTTTATTTGTAGTAATTCCATCTTTAAATGAACATTCCAAATACCCTCTGTTTTTGTTCTGGGAAATTTTAAAACTTTTTTCTTAAGAGCTTGTCTTTACTGTTCCAATTTTTGTTAACGATAACACTATGACTTATTTCTATCACTCCTAAAGGTATCTGCACTTACCCGTGAATATCATCTGATCTATCTGCTTTATCTTTTTTTATTTTTTAAAGTGCTTGAACTTCCTCGCTTGCTATTATGTTGACCATTGCCATTAAGAAAAATTGATATAAACTTATCAGCAATCATAGAAGAACCAAGAACAGTTGAATCAAATTTATATAATATGGTAAAGGGTCAAGTTTAAACGTACATGTGAATGTGCCCAAGATGGTATATACCAAGATTTAATGAAATACTAAAGGAAATTTCTTGACTGACCATCATATAAAGGGTAAAAACACATCTGGGGAATACTACCTTTAATATCCACTGAATGCAAGCATTACGCGACTTAACAAAAATAAAACTTCTTTACCTTATTCACATTGCACCTATCAAAAAAAAAAAAGATAAACAGCAAATGGAAAACGTAACGCAAGAACACTAGAACTGCTACTTGATCAACAAAAAAATAAAAGAATTGGTAATAAAAACGAAAAAACACCAACAGAATTGATAAAAGTCTACTAAATTAATTTTCTGGATAATTTTACTTACTTGTAATAACCACCCGAAGTATTCGTTTGAGATCTTGGCTCATTTGCGAGAGACCATATAATCACTCCTGGTCTATTTTTATCTCTATTATAAAGTTCTGTGATTGATCGTTTATGATTTTCCAATAGTAAATCACTGATGTTGCTAAAAGTAATAAAAATGTGTATAGACAAACATACATACTTGTTTTAATATTTCCTAAATGTTTTGCAAATTAGATAAATAGCTAAATATTCCATGATGTTATCTGACAAATAGGTAGATCTAAGTGACACATAAAAATACTACAAGATTTGAACGTTTGAATAGGAATTGTACAAAACGAATTTACACAGCTAGTATTTTTTTGCACATCACAAAAAATTTTAATGTTGAAAATTATTTTCAAGGTAACTTAGTGAAGGTGAATATTACAATCAGAACAAAAATGTGGTTTTAAAACAATAAGTATGATCGCATTAATATAAAAAACTTGGAAATATTTTGTGGGCCGTACCCTCGACGTTGATTTGAGAAGAGCCCTGATGTACTTACTTCTTGGCCACGCAAAGGTCCACATTTTAACCCTATTGATTTTTGCTTCTGGGCTTTTGCGAAAGAGGACAAGTATTGTGTAAACATTAATAATTTATAACAACTGAGGAATAGAATAATTGAAACTAATAAAATAGTAAATCGATTCAGTCAGGACACAATAAATTTCCAAAACATTTGGTTGTCTATTATGAAACGATGTTAAATACGTAAGTAATTAGGAAAATGGGTGATGTTTTAAATATTTGGAATTTGCAGGAGTGTTAACTATTTTTTGAAAGATACTAAAGGATATTGGGAAAAATCGATTTTCAATTTGTAAATTCAAAAAGTTTTTTCCATAATGTGCGGAATAATTGATAGCCCAATTTTTTATCACACCTCGTATAGTACCCAAGCGAACTAGTATAATGTAACTTACTCGATGCTAACTGCAGGCGTTTCATCAATTATCATGATTCCTAATTCGTCTGCCAAATCCATAATTTCTTCAGCGTAGGGGTAATGTGACGTTCTGTACGCGTTAGCCCCAATCCATCGCATCAAGTTATGGTCTCTTATGATCAGAGGTAGATCAAAACCCTTACCACGAATATCAGAATCTTCATGGCGTCCAAATCCTCTAATATAAATGGGTTTTCCGTTTATAGTGACGGAGGTGCTGTTCCAAAATAGTTCCCGTATGCCAAAATGTTGAATGTAACTGTCTATTAATGTATTTGAAGAATCAAAAATTTCTACCTGCAATGAAAGTATGCTGTAGAAACTACTTGAATACAAAAAATGGTGATAAAACTGTTTATATTAGATAAATAAAAGGCTTCTGCTAAAATATTTAGATCTAAAAAAAATGTCAATGCGGAAGAGTCTTTCTAAGACAATTTTGAAAAATTAAAATAAAAATTAAAAGCTATTACGGGTTGATTGTTTGATATAATCAATGGCGTTCTTAATAAATATATCTTTCTTAAGCGGCGTCATTGCCAAACAACAATCAATTAGTTTTTCCATAGCTATGCTAAGCTAAATATAACTGCAGTTCCCTAACTATAATATCTCGTTTTTTAAGATCTTTATAAAAGTATGTTATAATTGCTCGCTTAGCAAAATACTTGGGAATTTAACAGGGTCTATTTCCGAGTCTTATAGATATTTTAACCTCTTAGAGTGGGTTTATTGTATCACCAAAGGTCATTCGCACTGGGCCTGTAATGGCCCAGTCTTCTTCAGGTCAAAAGATCTAGATATGATTTGCATAGTATTATCCAGACTAGAGTCTAAAACTATCCTTAAGCCACTTGTGTTGTCACAGAAAGCACCGCGGACTTCCTGAAAGGTATTTCCTTCATCTGCCACTACTGAAAGGACGCCAAAATATTATCGTTGCCTGTAGTAGGCCAGTGCTTGGGACTCGCAGAGTACATAAGGGAATATGTCCTTCTTTTCGTTACAAATGCGGGGTTTTGGATTATCTACAAATCCAATTAGATTAAGGTGAAATCAAAGTCTACTCTAGTTAGTAAGAATACCTAACTTTACTTTTTCGTGTCTGAATCCAACTACAGTTGTTATGCCCAATATCGGGCTACGTTTACACCCTTTGTATTTGCGAGTCATAAATCATCGAGGGTGCACTGTGATGGGCAAAGTCTGCATACTCTCAGGTGCTCCACGTTCTATATTTCCCCACATTCACAAAGTGGGTCTCTATCTGTCTTGATGCCCCATTTAATGAGGTTCTGTTTTACATGGGCAACACCTGTGCGTATGCGGTTGAGTGTCCACCAGGTTCTCTAGTTCAAGTTCATTCCATAAGGTCGTTCTAAATGTAGGGGGAACAGTTCAGGTGGTTCGACGCTGATATTCCTCATAAACCTTTTCCTTGATTTAAGTCGGCTGATTCCTGGTGGTTCGTCAAACCCGTATAATTGGTGCCTTTCATCAAAAGCTTTCCTGAACTTCTCCACATATTGTGAGGCGCATCTAGGGTCGTCTGGTGATGCGAATCCAGCTACCCGGTACAGTAGGGGTAAAGGGGTAGGCTTCATACAACAGGTAATTATTCTACATGTTTCATTTATTGCCGTGGTTATTTGTTGGGCGTATCTAAATCTACCCCAGATGGGACAAGCATATTCCACTGTTGAGAAACATAAGCCCTCAGCTGTTGACTTTAAGATCTGGGGGTTTGCACCCCACTTGCTTCCTACAAATTTCCGGAGAAGGTTGCTTCTCGTAGAAACCTTTTGTTTTGTGCTCTGACAGTGTAATTTATATGATAATGACCGGTCTAGTATCACTCCAAGATATTTGGGCCTATTAGTATGTTTCAAGCGTTGTCCAAGCCTCTTCCATTGTCGACTCTACTTGTGTGAGTGTTTTTTCCTTTACAGCTATACTAAGGTCGTCAGCGTAAACAAATCTCTTAGTCTGGGGTGCATTGGTTGGTCGTTGGTGTAGATGATAAATAAAAACGGCGCCAGAATGCTTTCTTGAGGTAGGCTATTTTTTTGGGTTATTCATCTGCTGCATAGTGATCTAAGTTAAGCATACTGATCACCACCGTAGGAGCATCTTCTACAATTAAGTAGGAGTTAAGTAGTGGAACTCGTGTCCTAAAGCCTTTGTGATAAAAGCTCCTTAAAACTACATCGACAGTACTATTAAATCGTTAAAGTGAACGATTCCTGTAATAATAAGATATCTGTCCGTTTGCTCTACTGTAGTCCTAAGTGTTCCGATACTTATATTAAAATAATGAAGCGGCAGCTAGGACCCATTTGTATTCCAAAAACTAAAAGGAGGTAAATCTCTAGACATTGTAGACCTGTCTAACTTTCAGAGTAGATTTAAATTTTCTGTCAAGGCAAGCTTTATCAACCATTTCTTGAGAACAGACCATAATCGTAAAGATTTTAGCCTGCAAGATTTATTCATAAGATACTCCAGTTCGATGGAGCGGTCCTAACCACTGCCCAGCGCAGATGAGCAGGAAAGGGTCTTCATGTCTTCATTTTCTATATAGATAAGATATAGAGGCGGTATATCCAACAGCCTCCATCTGTAACAAACACATGTATAGTAAGTACAAAACATAAACACACAAGAGAACACAAGAGAACGTTGATGATACCAGGAAGGACATATGGCAATAAAATAAACCATGTATTGATTTGCTAATGGCCTCCAAGCAATGCTAGTAGAAAATAATCTTACGGGTAACATATTATTACGGTTTATTAACAACTTTTTAAATAATAGAAATTTCAGAATTACAGTTAACGGAATATTATACGACAAATGTGTCACTGAAAATGGTGTACCCCAAGGTTCTACTTTGAGTTCTACCTTCTTTCTACTACCCGTCAATGATATTTGCTTTCATATAAAATCTCCCGTTTTTGCCTTATACGCAGATGACCATATTGTATACTGCCAAGGAAAATTCCCAGCTGCAACCTCATTTTTATTCTTAAACTCACCTGGCGTCGTCATATCGATAAAAGAAAAGGAAATTGTTTAAGTAGAATAAATTTGTTAAAGATATTGTCTCACCATCAATGGGGTGCCAATCAAAGTGTACTACTCAACATATTTCGAGTTATAACCCGATCCAAATTAGACTTTGGTTGTATGGTTTACCTGTCCGTATCCAATAATTTATTACAATCGGTAAACTCTGTTCACAACACTGCTCTCATATTTTGCTTAAAACAATTTTGATCCAGTCCGGCTGAAAAAGCTATTGTGAATCTTATGAACTTCCCTTTACCTTAGGAGGCAGCAACTGCTCCTATTTTGTCCTTCTTGAACCATCTTGAATTTGATTAAATCCGACTAACCCTGTATTTAATCTTTTGACCTCGCCAAGACCTGGACTCGTAAACTCGCCCAGATGTATGCTTTCAATCCCACCGATTTTCTAACCCTTGTGCCAAGACACAAAATTATTTCAAACAATTGCATCTATAAAATCAAAATTTTCGCCATGGTCTAGAACATCTCATTTTTTAAACACTTCCCTCTGTAAATTTAATAAGAAATAATATCATTTTTCGACAAGCTTTCAAGGATCTTGTGAATACATCCCACTATGATAAGGTGATAAACCGCTCTATTGTACTGGCCAGCATTCTTTGGCCATCTATCTAACTCCGCCTCCGGTAAGTGCTGGGTGAATTAAATAGCTCAGTAAATGCCGATGCCGGGCCCAAGCCCGGATAAAGGAGGAGGGTTGAGGCGATGGGCTAGCAACTCATTCCTTGTCAAAACAAGTAAATGCTAAAAATTTCGACCAAAAGCATTGGAATACAAAGGATGGATCAAAACAAAGACGACTAATGCAACGGATCCGTAATTTATTCGTTAGAAAATATTTACAATCAACATTACCTAATGCAAAAAATACTTGAACCGATCCATCTACACACTTCCCGAGGGACTTCAATAACAATCATATGGGTGCCTTCTCATATCGGCATCCAAGGAAATAAGATGGATGACAGCGCTGCAAAAGAAGCATCTACCTCCAACTTACCCGTGTACAACATACAACTCCAAGAACATATAAAATCAAAATTCAAAAGGAAGATCCAAAGCAAGTGGCAGAAACTTGGGATCACTAAAGACACAAAGCCCAGAGAAATATAACCTAATGTTAATAGCTATTTATCCCTAGCATCTCTGATCAGAAAAGACAAGATAGCAATACGAAGATTGAGGATAGCACACACACGCTTGACACACGGTCATCTTATATCCTATACAGAGTAGCAGTTATGCTTCCACTGCAACGATATTTCTATTACTGTCAAGCACATCCTCACAGAATGTCAACACTACCACTCGCATTACCAACAATATAACCCACAGTTTAAAAGAACTTCTGAACTGTTCTAGCCGATTCAAAAGCCTAATAGACTTCCTAAAGACAATTGTTTAACAAATTATCGTATACATAATATTGTTATTTTTACTGTTATATGTTTTATTGTTATTTACTATTGTAAACTTTGTATCACAAATCTGTAGGTACTATTGTAAAACTTTTGCTCCCGTGTCAATGTTAAATAAGTTACTTTTTAAGTTTTTCCAAAAATGGATTTCAGTATTTTTTATTTATCTCTATAAAAAAGTTCTCGATTTAAGATAAATCTTAGTAAATATGTACTTACTTTTAACCTATAACAGTAACCAGGATCCTCATTCATTAGGTACGGCCACCAAAGATGTGCATCTGGGACTAATATGTTGCCACTAGCTTCCACATTTTCACCAACTTTATTATTATTTTTATCTAAGACTGTGACTTTGTACCTCGTAGCATTTTTACTATTTTCGTCTTTATTTAGGTCTATTTTGTAAGAGATAATACCTAAAAATGGTAGTTCATAGATAAATATAGTGGGAAACTGTTTTTTTTTATATATTTGGTAATATTAAATGATAATTAACACAAATCCAAATCAATCTGAGATTAATTTCGGATACTGGAGAAAACTATAAAGTAAAACCATTGGTGTAATACCTGTTGTATCCTGAACTGAAGTGTGTATCGTTAAGTCATCAATGTATGTTAAGGGTGTAGTATACAGAGCTATGGGCCTATCAATTCCCGCGTAGTTAAAAAAATCAAAGGAGTATGTTTGAGCTTTTCTTCCACTAAAAAGTAAAGTGGAAAAATATATAGCCATACATAAAATTATTAGACCTTCCGAGATATAGTAAACTGATTACCGGCATCCTTTGGAGATAGGTAAACTCATTACCGCAGATAGGTAAACTGATCACCAGTATTTTTGCTCCAATGCGCTGGTTTCTAATTCTTTGCCAGTTACCTGTTACACTTCTCGTTTATGTGGTAATTTATTAAATTCAGAAATTGTTTTAAGCAAATTACTTTAAAATGGATATTAATATCGATTTTTTTATGGTGTGGTCTATTCGACGTATCTGCCAATCTAAGCGGTTTTGAGATCTGAAAATTCAGTTGCATAGGTTTTCGTTAGTAAACTTTATAATGATGATATTTATGGACATCTGCTATTTCCATTTATATTGGAAATAGTCCTTAAGTTATTAACTAATTAGAAATCTATTTTTTGTGACAGAATAAATCAAAATGCAAAAGTACCGTCTCGTGGCTTTTATAAACAGTTAAGCCTTATAAAGATTATCCTATGAAAACCGGACAGGTACAAATGATAAAATTTGCAGTTTTATGTACACCATTGTTGAGTACTGTAAAAGGGTAGATACAAAAGTGAGGATATTGAGATGGGAATGGTAAAAATGGTTGGAAAAATGGGAATGAAAGGATTTGTATGATTTGTGGTGAAATGTATATGGCTAGACGGGGATGCCCAAACAGTTAGTGGGAAAAGAGACTCATTACTTACGTTCTTCATCACATCTCTTAGTTCTTTTCCATATAATGGGCCATTTTCATAAACGAAGGCAAGTTAGGGATATCCGTATGAAATCGTTGACAAAACAATCGGCGACTCGTTCTGGATCCATAAATGACCAGCCAAGTAAGTGATTCAGTCACTTGCCGTTGGAATCTCCCCCCTTGTAAGTGGTTACCAAACAAAGTTTTTGAATTTTGCGAAACCAACGTTAAGTCAAGTGAAATAAACACCCAATTCGGTTCACAGATGGTCGAATGGCAATTAAGAAATCAGCCACAAGTCTTGGTGGACTTAAAACGACACCAACTTCTTCGAAGTAACGAATTAATTGAGTAATGCCCATTTAATAAGCTATGGATGGTAAATAATTGCAAGAATAATTTTGGAACGTATTGAAATGGCCCATGCCTCTGCTTTCACAAGTAGCGTAAATTCTCAAGAATACCAAAAACAATAATATTTTATTGCGAATCGTTATCCAACACAAAACATTTATCGCGGTCCGTCTTTAGATTTATCTGTTGGATTGCTTGATGCGCTTTTTCACTGTCTTATGTACAGGTGACATAAAACGAAAACGATCGTTACTCACATTCCTCCGAAGACAATAGATGTCTGTTGTTGTCATGTGTTCTTTAAAAGAAGAAGTTGCAATCTTTTGGTGAATGATTTTTGATGGCCTCTCTTGAGCTTTCATCTAGCAGCAGTTGCTAATGACTTGACGGCTTAGTTTTCGAAGGTCGCTTACGCTATTGTGTCCCAAGACGCAGTGCAGAATATTTTCCGCAACTAAAATAATTATAGAAATATAAGCACATATTGGTCATTTTCAGAAAACTTGACTTTATTACATAAAATCAAGTCTTCCTCAGTTTTAAAATAAAGTTTTAATAAGTTCTTTGTATATTTTTAAGTTTCATGTAAAAAATTACTTGACTGAATTATAAAAAATGATCCATTTATGATTAAGTCAAAAAAATATTTGGATCTTCAGCCAAAACTTCAGCCTTTGGTATTGCAAAACTTATTATAAAAGTACAATTGCAATTCTACACAGAAATTAGTTATTTATACTTGATTTATAATTATGATTTTCCAATCCTGACACTTCGAAGTTTTATTAGAAATATCTAGCAAGAGAAATGTAGCATGAGTATTTTTTACCAAACTTTAAAGAACAATATTGACATACATTTGTGTTTAGATTTAAACCTCTAAATATGCAGGGTGTTTCACGCTACCACCGTTCACGAAACATGGAAATTGTGTCAAGTAAGAAAACTAGCGAAGTTTATTTAGATAGTGTTTAATAGAACACCATATTTATTATCACACCGATTCACACTGATTATTACCATACTTTTCTTAAATGGATACTGCATAAGTAACATACATATTTTATATACATACTTTGGTTTGTGTAACAGTTTGGTAAATATTAATTTTCCTATTCGTATTGCAATTTTAGAGTCTTTCGCAATTTAAATTTGAAATTATTGGTATCTATCATTTTTTGTCCGCGTTGGTTCAAAACGTAATGAGTAAGCTATCCATGTTAAAGAAACAAGGGTAAATAAAGAAAATTTTTTCTATGCCTATAGTTTTGGGTATATATAGGTCTATCTGTAGAATTTTGAGGAGTTTCCAAATAAAAACCAATAAATTACATTTGCATTTAATACAGCGATTTTAGATTCATTTTGTCACATTACCAAATCTTAGCGGTTTTCAAGGGGATTATGGTCTATACCTGCCACGGGGTGCGGGTAGACCAGTGATGAGTTTACCAATCTCTCGGGGTCTATAGTCGGTTCGCTATATTTACGCGGGTTTCGGATTAACAAAATTATGCTAATGGCTCATTGATAACCAGTTGCAGTAAACGACTTCCCAGAAAATTAGGTAAAAACTGCATTAATGGTCATATTTTAAAATACATTAAAATAACATTAGGGTAGGTATAAATTTGTTACAATATTGTAGTTGAATTGATTCTTTGCCAGTGTTGACATTGTATGTTTGGTGGAAATATTTAAAAATGCCTAGACGTGTGTTAGATGTAGATAGTCTAATTTGTAGTGTACATAAGTATTTTACGGATGAAAAAGAAAATGGCGGTCCTTTAAAATCGGTACCTAATGTCTGTTCAACAACGCGTATGTGATGCTCTAGGAATTAGTGAAACCAAGCTAAGAGGAGTATTACAAAATCGCAATAATGAACGGCCGAAAGAAGATCACCGAAAAACTCGCCTATCATTGAAAACGAAAGATATTCCAGATGGAAAAAAATTTGAAATTCGTGATACCATTTATCGACTGCGAGCCAACAAGGAACATGTGACCTTAAATACAATTCTCTCGGAGTTAAAAGATAGAAAATTTGACGAAATTAGCAGAACAAGTCTATGGCAAATGATACATAATTTGGGTTTCAAATTTCAAAAGGAGGATAACAGAAAAGCCCTTTGTGAAAGAAGTTCTGTTGTGCATAAAAAAATTAACTTCTAAGAAAATATTCTAAATTAAAAAAAGAAAGAGCAAATTTTATATATTTAGACAAAACATGGATATTTTCTAGGGGTGCAACCAAGAGAATATGGCAAGATGAGAACGTAAAGTCTATCAAACATACTGATGGAGAAGGGAAGCGACACATAATTTTACATGCAGTAAAAATCAAGTGACTATCACGATAATATGAACACAGAAATGTTTGTAAAATGGTTACATAAAAAACTTCTCCCAGGTTTAAGTGAGCCCAGCGTAATTATTTTAGACAATGCAGCTTACCATTCTGAAGTATTAAACAAAAGTCCAACGAATTCTTGGACTGTTAATAAAATTAAAGAATGGTTGACAAAGGAACATATACCATTTACACAACATATTTTAAAATCAGAATTATTACGCTTGGCAAATATCCACGCAAAACCAAAAACCTTTGTTGTGGATCAGATTATTGAAAGTTACGGTCATCAAGTTTTACGTCTGCCACCGTATCATTGCCAGTTTAATCGCATCGAATATATATGGGGAATAGCAAAACAATATTATGACAACCATATTGGGCCTAAGGGCGAGCGCCCACCAAAGTGGCGTGGCAGTGGCAAGTAGCAAGTAGCACGCGTCTAGCATAATGTAACCAATCCTAACGAATGATTAGAATGAATGACGTTACTGTCATTTTGGTGTAAACTGAATCATTCGTTTTCATTGGTTACATTATGCTAGACGCGTGCTACTTGCTACTTGCCACTGCCACGCCACTTTGGTGGGCGCTCGCCCTTACGGTTATAGCGACGACGCAGTTCGGGAAACTTGGCGAAAGGCACTTTCAATTGTAACTCCAGAAGTGTGGTGCAACTGTATATTCAAGTGCGAGAAACTAATAGAAGATTTGTGGACTCGTGAAAATAAAATAAACGAAATAAGTCCAATCATAATAACAATTAATGGTGATGACAGTGATGATGATGACGATTATGATATTTTTGATGATAATGACTGATTTTCATTTTTGTAGGCAAGTTAAATTTTTTTATTTTTCATTAGAAATCCTCTCCATGGAACAAATATACATAGACCATATTTTCTGTGTCAACTGTAATATAAAATTATTATTAGGTTTATATTAGCCACATTAGACTCCATTAATGAAGTAATTCTCCTTATTATACTGTCAATTATATAAAAGATTTTCCATTATGATTTAATTAAAAAAAGTTATGGAATATTTTTCATTTTATTTGATCAGTTGTTATTTCCCCAAAGAGCAGGTAATTAAAACTGGGTACTTACAATAAAATTTTTAATCCGAAACCCGCGTAATTATAGCGAACCGACTATATTTGAGAATCTTTACTTTCATGGCGGTGATGAGTTTGTCGTATGTACGAGGGTATATTATGGTAACTGGTGATGAGTGTAAGTGTACTCATCTGAAATTATGTATAATATACGCGTGAAATTATGTATAATAAATCATGATTATAATCACGATTTTTTTCTCATTGGAAATGAGCAAAGACACAGTGATTTTTATAGCTCTTGTAACTACTATTTAACGATTTGTAAGTTCTATAAAATAACAAAAGTTATTGCAAATTGATCAACATTTTGTCGTATATTTTTATTTATTAACAATTTTAGTGAAAAATTACCGATTTTAAAAATTCTCGTCTGTATGTTGAATACCTTAACCTACCCTGGTAATGTAGTAACCGATCCTTGAGGAATCGTTGTTGATGTAAGTGTGTTGTCTACAATAATTTTGATTGTATTTTCGTCATCATTCACCAAACCGGTTATTTCCCCAGCAAATGGTAGATGGCCAATTGAGTGATCAAACGCAAATTTTTCGTTAATATACTAAAAAAGAAACAGCAATTTCTACAGTAACTTAATATTGAATAAAAAAATATTAAATAGACATATTTTAAATAAAATTGATGTATTTCGACCTACTATTCTGCTTATATGTATGTGAACAATAAAGTCTACTCCAATAGCTCCATTGCATGTTGAAGCTTTAGTGGGCGCTCATTGCCCACTATACACTAAGCATTCACTGTCACTTCTATGCTATAGACCAGTGGTTCCCAACCCGTGGTCCGCGGACCACTTGTGGTCCGCGTCGAGTTTACGTGTGGTCCGCGGGCTGTTTCAGAGTACGTCTTATAATTCACGGTTTTCTTCATCAATACGAGTATAACAATGTTTTTACTGGTTATATAATTAGACATTCATCCTCGGAGATACGTTTGTTATGAAAGTATGCCACATGAGTAATGCTGTTTTTATTTCTGATGTTAGGTGTGGAGTGACAGTGGCACAGCGCGAGCGCGGTGAGGGCAGGCTAGTAATAGTCACTGCGGGGCGGGCGGACACATGCTTCCACCACTCTCAAGCTCGGTCATTCCCCTCCGCCGCTGTGTAGCCGCACCCCCGCCCAGCATTGACTACCTACTACCTTCTCCTGAGTTCAATGGCCATTTGTCTGTCGTAGTGTCTAGTGTCACGTACCGTATGTACAGAGTGAGAGACTGCAATGAGTAAGCAAGTGAATTTGTTTAAGTTTTTAAAAAGAGCACATGATGAAAGTGAACCCGGACCTAGTGCTAGTACGAGTGTTAGTGACAGGTTTGTTTCAAGTGAACCTAAAAGTAGAAAACCAGCCAATCGTAAGTACAGCCCAGAATACTTAAAATATGGATTTACTTTTAAAGAAGATGGAGATGTTCATTTGCATCAGTGTGTTGCATGTTCAGAGGTTTTATGCAATGAAGCTATGAAACCGGCCAAACTCATGCGTCATTTTGAGACAAAACACAAAGAACTTGTTCAAAAACCATTGGATTTTTTCAAGCGCAAGGAAACTGCTTAAAAATGCAAAACAAGTAATGAAACAGTATTCTCCTCAGGATAGGGCTGCTTTAAAAGCATCTTTTTTAATTTCATTAAAAATAGCAAAAGCAAAAAAACCATTTAAATAGGAGAAGATTTAATTTTACCCTGTATTTTTGAAGCCACTAAAGAAGTACTTGGTGAATAGTCAGCTAAAAAATGCAAAATATAGCTCTATCAAATAATACAGTTACTAGAAGAGTTGAATCGATGGCAGCAGATGTTGAAAACCAACTCATAATAAAGCTTCACCAATCTAAGTGGTTTTCTTTGCAATTAGATGAGTCTACTGATGTTTCAAATAAAGCAATTTTACTGGTGTATGTAAAATACATTGATCATGAAGAAAAGAAATTAAATGAAGAATACATGACATCTATTGAACTGCCAGGTCATACAAAAGGTCGGGACATTTTTAATGCTGTTGATGGGTATTTAAAGTTGCATAAACTATCTTGGAAAGACTGTGTTGGATTGTCTACTGACGGAGCGGCTGCTATGACAGGCTCCAAACAAGGCCTTAAAAGTTTTGTACTGAAAGAAGCGGGAACCGAAGTACAAATAACACACTGCATTATTCACAGAGAAATGCTATCAACCAAACAGTTGAGTCCTGAACTCAATGAAGTCCTCCTTACAGTTGTAAAGGCTGTGAATTTAATACGGAGCAAAGCTCTTAATTCAAGATTGTTTGCTACGCTTTGTGATGATATGGGCTCGCTTCATTCCAAACTTCTCCTCCACACTGAAGTACGATGGTTATCCCGAGGGCGTGTATTGGCCAGATTTTATGAACTTAGAGAGGAGGTTTGTATGTTCCTTGACAAAAACAATCCAGAACCAGCGGCTGTGTTTCGGGATGGACAATGGGTGGCTAAACTTGCTGTTTTGACTGATATATTTGAAATTATAAATGTGCTGAATCTTGGTCTTCAAAGGACCTCACACACAGTATTCGATCTGTGGAAAAAAATTGCTGCATTGAAACAAAAGTTAAAGTTATGGCAAACTGAAGTAGAGAAAGGATATTTTGCTATGTTTAATCTGTTTTCTGAATTTATAATAGAAACGGAAAGTATGAATATAAATAAAGAACAGCTGTCATCTTTGGTAAAGGCTTACAGAGCATCGCTTTAAGGGTATTTTGACAACTATTTCCCTGCCAGTTCTGACGTCAGGTCTAATAACTTGTGGGTGGCAAATCCTTTTTTACCACTCAACGATATTGATCTTACACTTAATGAACAGAAAGAACTTATTAAGATATCTTCTGATCCTCAGCTTGAAGTTGTCAAAATACAACGTGACAATATTGCAAGCTTTTAGATCAAGTTACTTGATGAGTACCAAACCCTCAGCCAAAAACCTTGAAAATTCTACTTCCTTTCAATTCTACATATCTTTGTGAAACAGCATTTTCAACACTAAATGTTATTAAGAATAAGCATCGTAACAGTTTGTTTAAATTGGATGCTCCACTCAGGTTGAGTTTGACCTCTTTGAAGCCAAATATTGAAGATCTTGCCAGTAAAATGCAAAACAAAGGAAGTCACTGAGAGACTTAGTGTCATATTTTGTAAGCGTTTTACAATAGATTTATAATCTTTCTATAACTATATTAAGACTATACTATAAATATGTTTTTTTTCTAATTACTTACTCTTAATACAAAGTATATTAAAGGATTTAAAATATATTTCTCTAGTTCTCAATTTAATTTACCTAGTTATAAAATCATGTGGTCCGCAGACGTTTTCTTATAGATCTTGTGGTCCTCGAGGGAAAAAGGTTGAAAACCACTGCTCTAGGCGAGGATATGATGGGACGGTCTCCGTTATAAATGTACCTTAGAACCTCAATTGAATTTTAGACGAGATTATCTTATTTCTTAAAAACATTTTTATTTTGTTTCTAGTAAGTCGTTTTATCGTTTTCGTGGTCTTTCTACTGATCGTCTTCCTATTGAAGAACCGTTTCTTGCCTTCTTTACGACTCTATTTGTTGTTATTCAGCTTATATAATTGGGTCATTCTACTCTTCTATTTCTTACCCAGTCCACCTTACATCTATGTCTGTACTTCTAGCTCTGCCCCATAGTGTTTTACCATAAATTTTTCTCTGCTTAAGTGTTTTCATCAAGTGTTTTTATCTCTGCTATTTCTAACATCGCTTTTGTCCTCTCTGTGTCACATCGTGTTTCTGCCACGTATATCAGTATGGGTCTGATGACTGTTTTGTAAATTCTGCCATCATTTTTTCCCGATATTTTTATTTCTCCATATTGTTTCATTCAGGCAACCTGCCCTGTCTGCTCTGTTTACTTGATCTTCATTTCTGTTTCGACCTTTCCGTAACTAGATAATATGTGATTTCTAGATCTTAATTGACCAAATCTCCTGGATACGACCTTATAACGATAAAAGTATTACAAAAGCTATCCAATAAGGGTACGAGCTGTACCCTGCAGATATTAAATGCCATTTTGAGGCTTATTTTCCACAACAATGGAAAGTAGCCGTCATAATGATGCCGAAACCGGACAAGAAACCTAAGGAGATTACATCGTATAGTCCAATCAGTATATTGCAAATGTTATTTAAAATATTTGATAAACTGTTTTTAATAAGACCCATCTTAGAAATTAAAAAAGTCATATCAAATCGACAACGATCTAGAAAATACGATACTGTACCTCAGTATTTCTGAATATAAGTCAGGCTTTTAATAAGGTTTGGCACACACTATAAAACCAAAAAGCATCTACTCCATAAAATTAAAAATCATCTATCGCATAGATTCTATGGTGTGCTAAAATCTCATCTAACCAAGAGATACATCCTAGGTAAACACCAAGAGGAATGCACTGACCTGTATCCAGTTGAATTAGGTGTACCGCAAAGCAGTGTTCTTGAACCTGTACTTCACCTACTATACACCATGAATTTCTCTGAACCAGACTTAACGACAGTAGGTACATTTAGTATATGATACTGCTACGAAAATCTTACAAAATTCTTTCAACAAGACCAAACTGTTACTAAACGACTGGAAAATTCAAGCAATTGAAGCCATATTCAAGCACAAAACCTTCACAATGAAGAGGGATACCTGTCCACCGGTCACAATGAATGGTATACAGCTTTAACAAACCAATGACGTTAAGTACTTTGATATGCATTTAAATAGGCGAAAGACGTGGAGAACACATATTTTCACAAAACGTAAACAATTGGGATTAAAACTGCACCAAATATACTGGCTGCTTGGCAGGAAATCCAGCCTAAAAATAGAAAATTAATTCGTAATTTACAAATCACTCCTAACGCCGGTATAAACATACGATATACAACTCTGGGGTGTTGCTAGTAACTCAAACCTTGAAATTCTCCAAAGATTTTAAAATAAGACCCTGCGCATAATATCAGATACACCAAGGTACGTACCCAATATGCTAATCGAGACTCGAAAATATCATCCGTAAAAACAGAAATACCACGTTACACTGACAAACACAAACGACTCAAACTAACGGACTTGGGTAATAGATTTAGAACCATAGAATGGTTCGGGTGTAGTTCGATTGAACTTTTTAGGCGCGCTGCTAACAAAGTCGCAGTGACCATGATGATTTCCAATCTCTGCTAGGAGTGGCACAAGAAGAAGAAGAAGATCCGATATCGGATTTGCAGGTTGGTTACGCAGACATGTTTTCATCTTCAAAAAGGCTGTTCTTTATTGCTCTATTCTTGAGCGAATTTCTGATTTTGGATTCAGATTTTCCGTAATCCAGACTCCTAAGTATTTTATTTTGTCCACTTGCTCAATATATTCATTTTTTATCTGGATCCTTGTAATGACTTTGTCCGTCTTAACCATGTTTTTGGTTTTCCTTATGTTTATTGTTAAACCAAACTGTTCCTCAGTATTACAAATTGTGTTTAGTAACGTCTGCAGGTCTGTCTCAG